AGTATTGTATAATAAATAAGAATATTGACTAATTTATTGTTAGAGAAATATAAGGTAAGTTATATGATATAATGTTATTGTACAATATTGTTAGAGAAATATAAGGAAAGATAAAAAAAATGTTAGTATAATGAAAGGGTCCAAACAACTTTTTTAAGTAGATTTATTTAGACTCCTTCTCTTTTAATAGTATAGATTACCCTTCATATTTTTTAGTTTTTGAACATAACTTTTAAATTTGCTAATTGGTCATTAACTTTTACTTGTTATTTTCTTTCATCAAAATAAATTATATATATCAATATTATCCTATTACTTTCAAAATTGAAATAATAATTTTCATCTAATTAGATGTTTGTATCTAATAATATACAATTATTTCATTTCTCATAATTTTTTAACACGATTAAAAAAAAATCAAAGATAAATAAGCTTATTTTTATTTCAAAACACTTTTAATCACATAAAGAAGAAATATATATATATATATATATATGGTGTTTCTTTATAAAATATAATATTATTTATTTGATTTTTTATGTTATGTGAAATTTTTATTCGATAATAATGTTTAATTATATTAATTAGTAATTGTGTTACATCTATTATATTAAAACAGAAGTCACAACTTCATTTCATGTGTAATTTTTTTAAAAATGGACCCTCCCTAGAAAATCTAATTTCATTTATTCCTTAATAATATATAACCACTTAATATAATGATAACACTTATATATGTATATATGTATATTACGAAAAATATTTGTTATCTACAACAACTACACTTCTAAAAATATACTTCTGCTAACTATAATAAATTTCTTCATATATATATTAACATATATTAGTGATTTCTTTACTACATATTAACATATTGTAACATTCATGCATTTTTTTCGACATAAACCATAAAATCACATTGTCTTCCACTACATAAACATCATATTAATTATAAATCCATACTTACGTTTGCAAATGTTTTCTACCTTTCTCTATCCATCTTGAAATCATATTAATTATAAATCCATACTTACGTTTGCAAATGTTTTCTACCTTTCTCTATCCATCTTGAAAATCCTAATGAAACCATATCTCATTGTCACTTATTCATAGCAAAACTATCGCTAGGCCACAAAATATTTGACCATATCATAAGATAAATTAATTATCTTTCCTAACTAATTTAAACAATCTTTTCGAAACCATCATTTGATTATAACAAATAATATCTAAACATATATATATATATCTATATATATATATATATATATATATATATGTAACCATCTATTCTATTTTGCCATCACAACTGATTGGATATATCCTTATATCTATCACTCAAATACGAATATATTCCAAATACTCCATCACAACTGAAAATAATATCCAGTTAGTTGTTTTAAAATTTTATACTCAATAGATAATAATATATACGTAACCGCGCAACCACACGGGTGTTATATACACATTTGAATGTATGTGATTATTATACAATATGGCATTCTTGAAGTAGAAAAAAAATTGTTGTGTAAATATAAATGAAAAATAACACCCGCTCGGTCGAGTGGGTCAAGATCTAGTTATTGTTAAAACAAAATAATTGAGTAACATTAAAAAATATGAAAAAGTAAAATACATAATCAATAATTAATCATAAATTAGAGATAGAATCTTTATGGAACATTTCTTTTTACAAAGAGAAAATGAAGCAAACTATTAAGATAAAGTTGCTTCATTTGTTTTTCATTTTGAAGAAACTGAATTTTGAATATAAAAATGAAGTCAATCAAAGGACATGATCTTACATATTAGAACCTTAGTAAAACAAAAATTAGGTTATCCAGCCTAAGAACATGATTGACAATAACCCATGTTTGATGTCAAAAAAAGAGTAACCCATGTTTTAAAAAGATAGTAATACTATAATCATTTATAAAACTAACTTTTAGCACTGATAGAGTCTGGTAAAATTTAGAAAAACCGCATCAAATTTTATCTAACTTTACTATTAATATAAACTATTTAAATTTATTTGATCAAATTTTTTTTGAGCTATATTATCTTTAACAAAATATACTAATGATTGCTTCTTTTTATTTTTTTTATAGTTATTTATATTTGCTTGCTCTTTTTTCTTTAAAAGATCTGAAAACTCGCAAAAATCTTTTAGGTTTATTAGAATTGGGCGAACTTTAAAATGTAAACTTATTTCTTTAGATTGGACTCAATATCTACGAGTTTATATGAATTTTGGGCCAAGCTAAAATAGACTAACTCGATTAATATCTGTAGATATGGTAAACGAAAAAAATATTTACTCAAATTTTTTTTTTTTAGAATGTTTGATTATTCTATATATACAACAAAATTTTATAGAATAGAGAACAAAATATTTTTACAGATGTAAGTTGGTTCTATCTTTTTCTTTTGTATACATATACGATATTTTTCATATCTTCGAATTCAATTCATTTTTTAATCTTTTTTTCTGGATCAAAATTCTTATAGATTCTAGCATCTAAACATATCAACAGCAGTCAATTTTCCTATCAATTTATATATTACTTCTATGTTTTATCTTCTCTTAAATTTTGATTTTAATTGTACAAAATAATTTTATTAAGAATAGAGAGACATTATTTTTATGACTAGCAGCACACTTTGAATTCATTGGTCCATCTTAGGTGCATAATACTTTTAATGTAGTGTATCGACATACCTTTGTTATTGTATATTGTAATATACTGTGTATGGATCAGTTTTCTCCTTCTTCTTCTTTTTTTTTTTGCTACAGGCGTACAGTAAATGATTAGGTCCATATGGAATACATCTTCCTCTATATAAGTTCAAAAAAAAAATTAGAGAAAGGGTTTTACTATAAATTAGATGGCCTTGAAGGCAGTGTTTGAGCTTACCCATGACATGAATATTGAACCAAAAGGGCATACGGTCTTAGCCCAAAGTGAAATACAAATGAACCATAATGCAAAGAGTTAGGAGGTAGTTTAAAAGATATTAGGCGATCACGCCGAGGAGAAAGCGAAATCAACAGTCTAGATCTAATCGGCAAACCATGCTTGGGTCATTTTGGAGGAGAGAGTAGGATTCTGTTCACGGAAACTGGAGATATGATTCCTGATAAGCGTGTCTGCTTGTTTCAGTAGAGAAGAGAAAGGATGGAACTCTTTGCGGTGGTGTCTGTTATTTCTCTCAGTCCAAAGGAGATAGATGGATGCTTGCCATGCAAGCAGAACCAGTAAGCGCTGGTGCTTTGGGGCAGTGGAAGATTGAAGAGCTTCCAAGGCGATAGCCCAATTTGTAGAAGCAATCCAGTTCGCTCTTCAAGCCAGTTCCATCCAGAGATTCAAAGAGTAATAACACTCGAAATATAAGTGGTGTCGAGATTCTGGCAGTGAGTTACATAGATTGCAAGTCGGATCAATGGAAACTCCCCAATTGAACATCCTATCCTTGGTAGGACTTCTGTTCAACACCATAAGCTAAGTTAGGAAATTATGTCTTGGGATACCTCTTGAGGACAACACCACAGAGCGCCAAGGGACCCGTTGTCCATGGTGTTTGATTTCAATGTATATTTATTATTCATATTTTCCTGATCGATATTCAGATCCTCATTTGTCGAAAAGATTATAAAAATTAATATACATATTATAGTTAATGTAAATATATTAATTTTCATATATAAGTATAGATTTTGATTGGATTTATAAATTTTGTATTATATTGTTTAGGGCATGTTATTTAGCTTTTCTAATTTTTTTAATTTCTTGCTTGAAGCTAACTTGTCTCTTTCAGGAAAGAAAACACTTTGTTTTCCTAATCAATGCATATTTTGGATTAGTACGATTTTCTTGCACTCCTTCTATATTAGAGGCTTGTCACAATTCCTCTTAAAAAGATCATTGACCAAGTTCCGTTAGTAATCTTCCCAGATAGAGATATGTTATGCTTCTTATATAAGGAAATAAATATATTAGGATCAGGAAGTGGGGTTAATAGAAACATAATCTGGAACCAATTAAGTGTTCTTACTCAACTATCTTATAAGAACAAATCTTATCTCGCTGATTAAGAATAAAATATTTATTTTTTAATTCTATTAAAAAATATTTAATTATCAAGATGACAAATTAAATTAAGTAGGAAGAGAAATACGACTATAAAATCTGTAAGCTGTAATGTCCTTTTTAATTTACCTATAAAAGATGATACTGAGTTAATGACTTTGTGATAAAATGATACTAAATTTTATAATATTATGATATTATAATATTTCTACTCAGCAAAATTAATTTTTATGCATTGTATATTTGGATTTATTTGTTTTATGTGAATTAATATATGTAAAGGTTGTAGTTTTTTCCTTTTACTAAGAGGACTATGTTTTAGATTATATTCTAATCCTATAAGAGATATGCCTTATTTTTAGTATAAATATATGATCTATTTGTTTGTAAGAGATAGGTTTGATTCATTACGAATTAAAGAAGATCCTAAACCTTGTTTTAACCTAAGAACAGAACGTTCCTTAGACTAAAGGCTATCAACGATGGAGGAAGGTGAAGGATCCGCAGGGGCTGAATTAAAGCGCTTATGGTCATCTACTAATGCTGAGGATTGTACGATGCAGGAGGAAGCTGATCACGATTCGTACCACAAGCGTGCCAAAGTGTACTCTAACCTTGCGCGAGCTCTCTAAACTCCTTTTACTACTTGATGACTGAATAACATCCTTTGAGTGTCATTTGTTTGTTACTTTCATATGATTATGATGCTTATGTTCAATTGCAGTGAGGGCCGGTCTGCTTCCATGGAGAAAACTGTTGCATCTTCTTCTTCTTCTTCTCGGACAGATACTGATATGTTCTGCCAGAATTTCATCTTGAACTATGGTCGGAAAAATGGGAGAAAAGATCTTGAGTTTCATATTGATTTGACTGATGACCTCTTACATTTGGTAAATATTTTTTGCAGTTAAAGAAGTTTGTAGTTAATCCTTTTCTTTGTTTTTAGGTTTTTCGTAAATTTTTTTTTCCACTTTCAGGTGTTCTCGTCATTGAATCACGTCGACCTCTGTCTCTCTGCTATGGTATGTCGTCAATGGAGAGCAGCTAGTGCTCATGAGGATTTTTGGAAGGTCTTGAACTTTGAAAATATGAAGATTTCTATCGAGCCATGTAAGTTGTTCTTCATATATATATGTTAAAGGTCTCTTCTCTGTTATTTGTTGTGTAAACCTTGAAAGAAACTTGAGAATTGATGGTGGCTATATTGAGTCTTGGACTATTATATTTTTTGTTTGATATTTTAGTGAACACAATAAACTTGTAACAGTGTAACCTTTAATGGCCTCTAACAAAAATTATACAAAGGCGCTATGTTACTCAAACTTGTATTTCTTCCGTTTTACTCAAACATTTGATTGCTTTGTGTGCAGTTGAAAACGTGTGTCATCGCTATCCTAATGCCACTGAAGTGAATGTTTTTGGCGTTCCTGATGTTAACGCGCTCGCTCTGAAAGCAGCTACCACTTTAAGGTATCTATCTTGCTTAGTCTTGAAGATGATTTCATAAATTAACTTAATATATATATATATATATCGTCTATTTCAGGAATCTGGAGGTCTTAACTATAGGAAAAGGTCAAATCACTGAAAAAGTTTTCCAAGTATTGAGGAAGTGTAATAGTCTAAGAAACGTGACCATAAATGAGGCTCTTCTGGGAAGTGGTGCTCAAAAAATACACCTGAGTCATAATAGGCTACATGAACTTAAATTTGAAAAATGCAGCGTTCTGCTTTTGTCTATCAGGTGAAGTTGCTTTCTCATTTGATTTGTATTGCTTATGTGTTTTTTTTTTAAACTCTCAATTAGTATTATTATTTGTGTCTATCATATTAGGTGTCCGCAGCTAAGGTCTTTATCATTAAAAGGAATCAACATGATACAGGCGATACTAAACTGTCCACTACTCCAACATCTTAACATAAGATCTTGCTATAAGCTCCAAGATGCTGATATACGTTCAGTTGTCACTTCGTGTCCTCAACTAGAGTCGCTCGATGTTTCTAACTGTTCATGTGTCAGTAATGAAACTTTGCGTGAAATAGCTCAGGCTTGTGCTGGTCTCCGTATTCTTAATGCTTCAGACTGCCCCAACATATCTTTTGAGGTTTGTGTCGTGTTACTTACATGATTGCTCTGGTTTTCCTCACCTGTCTCATACTTGTTTCCTGACCTTTTCTTCTTTGTAGTCAGTACATTTTCCCATGTTGACAGTTCTCAAGCTTCATAGATGTGGGTTTATAACATCTGCAACTGTGGCTTGGATTGCTAACAGTCTAGCGCTCGAGGTATGTGACTGCTTTTGTTTTAGCTAGAGGCAATGTTTCCAGTTAAGTTAAACAGATATCATATATTGCAGGTTTTGGAGCTTGATAATTGCAAGAAGTTGACATCTGTCACGTTGCATCTCTCCTGTTTGAAGAGTATAAGCCTAGTAAATTGTTGCAAGTATAGCCTTCATCTTTTGTTTTGCTTTGAAAAAATTATATATATTTTATGATATTTTTTTGCTATTATTTGACACAAAGTGTGTAACAGATTCACAGAGCTGAACTTGCAAAGCACCAAGCTTTCATCAATCACTATTTCAAACTGTCCAGCTCTTAACTCAGTCACTATCACTTCCAACGCCCTTCAAGTATGCACTTAGTTATCATGATTTGTTAATACAGTTTTGATCTGATTAAACAATTAATATTTCTTCATTTTGTTGCAGAGATTAGATCTCAAGAAACAGGACAATTTGACAACATTGGTTCTGCAATGCCAGTCCTTGCAAGAAGTGGATCTCTCTGGTTGTATATCACTGTCCAACACTGTTTGTGATCTCGTTGATGGATGCCCAATGCTGAAGTCATTAGTTCTTGACAACTGTGAGGTGTGATACAGTTTCTTCCTCTTTCTTTGTCTGCAGCTATCTGTTTGTTTAACTGATTATAAACCTTCCATCATCTTGTAGAGCTTAACAGAAGTGCGGTTCTCTAACTCATCGTTGTCTAGTCTGTCCCTTTTTGGCTGTTGTGATGTCACTTCTCTTGAGTTGAATTGCCCTCGCATAGAGCAGATCTGTTTGGATGGATGTGATAATCTTGAAACTGCATTCTTCAAGCATGTAAGTGTTGCTATGCTTCTCTCATATCATATAAATAACTTTCCTTAACTGATGGATCTCTTGCTTCTCCCTTCTGGTTATTACCAGGTTGCGCTCCAGTCTCTAAATCTAGGAATATGCTCAAAACTGAGTGTGCTTAGTATCGAAGCGCCTTATATGGTGTCCCTTGAGTTGAAAGGTTGTGGTGTACTGTCTGAAGCATCCATCATTTGTCCCTTATTAACATCTTTAGATGCCTCTTTCTGCAGGTATCCTTTATTGTATGTTATTTTTTCATTTTCATGACTTATCTTAAGGTGCTGCTAATGAACTTCCCACCATTGCCTTTTCTAGTCAACTGAAGGATGACTGTCTTACTGCAATCACTGCTTCTTGCCCATTAATTGAGTCACTGGTGCTTATGTCATGCTCTTCTATTGGCTCTGATGGCTTTTCTTCCTTGAAAAGACTCCAAAATTTGACTCTTCTTGATTTATCCTACACTTCAGTGATGAATCTGGAGCCCATCTTCAAGTCATGTATTCAACTGAAGGTATTTAAGACCTTATGACTTTGTATACTTTATACTCATTCCATGAGAACTTCTTGAGTTAAGCTGTGCCTTCTTTTATTGTTTAGGTACTCATATTACAAGTCTGCAAAGGCCTCACTGACTCATCATTGGAGCCTCTATACAAAGAAGGTGCATTGCCGGCACTTGAAGAGTTGGACCTGTCTTATGGAACTCTTAGTCAGACTGTGATAGATAATCTACTTGCGTGCTGCACCCACCTGACCCATTTGAACTTGAACGGCATGCATGACCTTGAATTTGATTGGGGTTCAGCCAATGTAGAAACAAGTAGCAACCGGTTACTACAAAACCTCAGCTGTGTAGGTTGCCACAATATCAGGAAAGTGTTGATGCCACCTGCAGCTCGGTTTGATCATTTATCATCACTTAGCCTTTCTCAATCAGTCCATTTAAAGGAGGTTGATCTCTCCTGTCCCAACCTGGTCTTACTTAATCTAAGGTATTATGAGAGAATTTACAAGTTGTTGTAATATGACTTATTTCTTTAGTTCTCATCAAATATATTGTTGTTATTCCATTTGCTAATTAAATTTAAATTCAAAAACTGGATTGTTTTAGCAACTGTTGCTCTCTGGAAGTACTGAAACTTTGCTGTCCAAGATTGGCTAGTCTCTTTCTTCAGGTAATGTTTTTATACCAGAATTGACTCAGTTTATTATATCTTTATTGTTTGGGTTTTAAGCTAGTTTCATCAAGTTTTTAAATATGTTCAAAAATATATATATATATATATAGTTCCAGTACTTGTTAAGAGGTTATCACTAAACACATTTTTGACACCTTGGTCTTTGGTAGTTTTGTAAAATGGATGAAGCAGAAGTTGAAGCAGCTATATCAGGATGCAGCTCACTAGAAATACTAGATCTCCGTTTCTGTCCTAAGGTAATAATAGGGAGTATTTACTTCGATATATAGTCATAGTAGTTCAACAAATAATCCATTGGATCATAAAAAGAGACTTTAAACATTGAAAACCATATCTTGGTGATTAACAGATACCTTCAGTGAGCATGGCGAGGTTCCAACCAGTGTGCCCTAGTTTGAAGCGCGTCGTCAGCCGTCCTAAACTTTTGCAAGAGAGGGTTTTTCATCCAATGTTTCGTTATACACAACTTTATCTGTAGATTAAATCAAATGCTATGATTATTTATAGGCCTTTGGAGCTGCTTGTACTGTTCCCATTTTAAACTCTGCTTGTGTGACGACACAAACCTTTTTATGTCTTTGCTTGGTTATAACACTGCTAGTGTTATAATAATATAAATAATTAGTCAGTCTTTAGAATAGTTTATCTGGATTGATCCTAATATTTTGTGATCACCATCCCAATCAATATTGAGTCCAAAACTCTATTTTTTATCTGTGTAATTCTAGTGGAATCAAAACACTCATAGAGTTAGAGGAAGTGACTTCTTGTCTGAGAGACATGATTAACATCTCTTATGGTTAAAACTTAAAACTAGTGATGACTCAACTAGTTCCTTCACACGCAAGAAACGTACACTTTTAACTTACAATGCAAGCAACCTTTAAAACTAACTCTTTCTCCTTCCACAGATCTTCCAGATTCTTCTATCTTCTCTCTTTTCAATCTCTCTCTCCGTTCTATCTCACTTCTACTTCGCCATTTTCTTCTTCTTCTTCCTCACAATGGTTCGGCTTTCTACGCGACGCCATCTCTTCCTCGGATTTGAGGCTCGGGAAATGCACGCACGCACGTATCCTAACCTCCGAAGAAAACCCAGAACGGTTTCTGATCAACAACCTCATCACAATGTACTCAAAGTGTGGATCACTCACTTACGCTCGCAGAGTGTTCGATAAAATGCCTGAGAGAGATCTCGTTTCCTGGAACTCTATTTTAGCTGCCTATGCCCAGTCTTCCGAACGTGTTATCGATAACACTGAAGAGGGTTTTGTTCTTTTTCGGATTTTACGACAGAACGTTGTGTTTACAAGTAGAATGACTCTGGCTCCACTGTTGAAACTCTGTTTGTGTTCTGGATACGTGTGGGCTTCAGAGGCAGTTCATGGTTACGCTTGCAAAATCGGTTTGGACAGTGATGAGTTTGTTGCTGGAGGTCTTGTTAATATATATCTGAAGTTTGGTAAAGTTAAGGAAGGTAGGGTTTTGTTTGAGGAGATGCCTGAGAGAGATGTGGTGTTATGGAACTTGTTGTTGAAGGCTTATTTGGATATGGGTTTTAAAGAAGAAGCAGTGGAGATTTCTTCTGCATTTCACAGAAGTGGCTTGTATCCCAATGGAACCACCTTGCGGTTACTTGATAGAGTTTCTTGGGATGGTTCTGAAGGACGACAAGGGAATGGTAATGATGGTTCAGATATACGATCCAAGAACCAAATATTAACTAAATATCTCCAGGCAAGTCAGTACTCAGCTCTTCTCCAATGTTTTGCGGATATGGTCGAGTCCAACCTGGAATGTGATAGTGTCTCATTTATTTTGGTGTTAACTACAGCTGTTAGGTTAGATAGTTTAACCTTAGGGAAGCAAGTTCATTGTATGGCATTGAAGTTAGGATTTGATTTGATACTCACCGTGGGGAATAGTCTAATAAACATGTATTGTAAGTTGAGAAACGTCGGCTTCGCTAGGACTGTGTTTGACAGTATGAGTGAACGAGATTTGATTTCATGGAATTCAGTGATCTCCGGGTTTGCTCAAGGTGGCCTAGAAGTGGAAGCAGTGTGTTTATTTATGCAGCTGTTACGTTGTGGCCTCACACCAGACAATTATACCATTACGAGTGTTCTGAAGGCAACATCTTCTCTCTCTGAAAGTTTGTCGTTGAATAAACAAGTTCATGTTCATGCAATTAAAACCAATAATGTTGGTGACAATTTTGTCTCTACTGCTCTGATAGACGCCTACTCTGGGAACAAGTGTATGACAGAGGCAGAGGTTTTATTCTCGAGGAACAAGTTCGATCTCGTCGCTTGTAATGCCATGATGTCTGGTTATACCCAAAGTAATGACGGTGACAAGACTCTGAATCTCTTCGCTTTGATGCATAAACAGGGAGAGAGATCTGATGATTTCACTATGGCAACAGTGCTTAAGACATGTGGTTTCTTGTTTGCAATAAACCAAGGAAAGCAAGTCCATGCTTATGCAATCAAATCCGGATATGAATCAGATCTATGGGTCAGCAGTGGAGTTTTGGATATTTACGTAAAATGTGGCGATATGAAGGCAGCACATTTTGCTTTCAATTGCATTCCTGTGCCAGACGATGTTGCTTGGACGACTATGATATCAGGATGCATAGAAAACGGAGAAGAAGAGCGAGCTTTTCATGTTTATAGCCAGATGAGACTCATGGGAGTGTTACCTGATGAGTTTACAATAGCCACACTTGCCAAAGCAAGCTCTTGTTTAACAGCATTAGAACAGGGGCGTCAGATTCATGCAAATGCCCTGAAGCTTAACTGCACTGGTGATCCGTACGTTGGAACTTCACTTGTGGACATGTATGCAAAGTGTGGAAGCATAGACGACGCGTATTCTTTGTTTAAAAGGATTGAAATGAGGAACATAGCTGCCTGGAACGCCATGTTAGTAGGATTAGCTCAACATGGAGAAGGGAAAGAAGCGCTCCAGCTTTTCAAACAGATGAGATCTTTAGGTATAAAACCTGATAAGGTCACGTTTATAGGTGTTCTCTCTGCTTGCAGTCACTCAGGTTTAGTATCCGAAGCATACAAGCAGATCCAATCAATGCATCGAGACTACGGCATTAAACCTGAAATAGAACACTACTCTTGTTTAGCTGATGCGCTTGGCCGTGCTGGACTTGTTAAAGAGGCTGAAAAACTGATCGAGTCAATGTCCTTGGAAGCTTCAGCATCCATGTACAGAGCTCTTCTTGCAGCTTGTCGAGTTCAAGGGGACACGGAAACAGGGAAGAGAGTGGCAACTAAGCTTTTGGAGCTAGAGCCATCGGATTCATCTGCTTATGTGCTTTTATCCAACATGTATGCTGCTGCTTCCAAATGGTGTGAGGTGAAAATCGCTAGGACCATGATGAGAGGACAGAACGTGAAGAAAGACCCTGGTTTCAGTTGGATAGAGGTGAAGAACAAGATCCATCTGTTTGTTGTGGATGACAGGTCAAACCCGCAAGCCGAGCTGATATACGAGAAAGTTAAAGATGTGATCGGAGACATCAAACAAGAAGGGTATGTTCCTGAGACAGATTACACACTTGTAGATGTCGAGGAAGAGGAGAAAGAGCGGGCACTGTACTACCATAGCGAGAAGCTGGCTGTTGCGTTCGGGCTTATGAGCACTCCTCCGTCTACACCGATCCGTGTGATCAAGAATCTTCGTGTCTGTGGAGATTGTCACAATGCTATGAAGTATATAGCAAAAGTGTATGGTAGAGAGATTGTTCTGAGAGATGCAAACAGATTTCACCGGTTCAAGGATGGTAAATGCTCATGTGGTGATTTTTGGTAGCTGGAAGGTTGGACAAAGATTTTAAGTGTTTGCTTACTCAATAGTTGTCAATAGATTGTAATTCAAGTTACATTGCAATATCCTGAGAAACTACACATAAGAATCTTGTTTCCAGCTCCTCCAACGCAGTTTATGTCAGCCTTTTCTCCTGTGTAAATCATGAGACACCGCAAGAGGCAACATCTCGACATGAATTCAGTTCTGGTTCTCTAGTTTCCTGATCCTTAAAACTCAGAAAAGAATTTCAAGAATCAAGTTCTTCATCACTCTAGTGCAAGAATCACCTTCCAGACTCTTAATAATCAGTAACTGATTTATTTTTGAAGCTGTGTGGGTCAAATAAAAAATACAACATTCTTCTTCTACTTTGATTGATTTACTAAGTACTAGTATGCAAAATTGATATGTATCAAAGAGACAATGTCATTGAGAAACACTAAAGTATCATCATCGACTGGATTCTTTTGCATCAGCTTGCTTAGTTGGATTCAGCTCACCATCAACCTCCAACATGCGAGTGAGAAGTTTACCATCTAAATTCTCCTGTTTGAATCCATGAAAAAGACAAAACTACTAAGAAAGAGAAACTTATGGAATTGATTAGGATAAACAGAAAAAAAAACATAAATAGAGCTGAATAAAAAGAATTAAGTTACCGAGAGACAGTCTCTGTATTTTTTCCATTCAGTAACACACTCTTCTTTATCCCATTGTCCTTTCACAAACTTCTCCGAGTACCATCTGCAGAATCAAACATAAAAGGATGCAACTTTCAATGGTTTTGGATCAGAATTGTAACACTAACCAAAAGATTACATATAAAGGGAAGTAAAATCCAGACAGTATAGAACATATATCCCTCAAAAGATTCCATTTTGGTTCATTATTGCTACTAAACACTTAAAAAACAATGCTTACATCTCTCAAAAGGAGAAAGGAAAACTAACTTATTGAAGCAATTGTGGTAAGCAGTTCGCAAATCAGCACAGGGGGAAGTAGAGGAGCGAGTCGAAGTTGAATCCTTTTTCTTCAACAAACCCATCGTTGCAAGCCACTAGTGATTTTGTGAGCTTTAGCAATTTTGAAAATCCACCTATATAATTCAATTTTTTAAAAATAAATTCCAAGAAATATAGAAAAAAAATGTGAAATGGTGACAGAAAGAATCTAATACAAGCTTTATTGATCAAGCATTTTGTTTGTTAAATATTTGTACTGATGACTTCATAAACTCATGAAAGGTGAGATTAATCAAAAATGATGTCTCTCATTATTTAAATATCAAACAGGCAGAAAGATTACCTTAAATATTATTAGATAGGAAGGAAGAAGATGTCTGAATCTGAACCCGTAAACCTCAGATTCGACGAGATTGTGAGCACGCACGACCAGGTGGAAGCTTCGGAGAAGTGTGGGAAAATCCAAACGACGCCGTTTCACGGTAGACAAAAACCCTATGCACGCCCGGTTCTTCAGAGTAAACCACAAAGTGACAAAGGTGAAAAAAAAAAAGACACAATCACACGGTAAAAGCCCATTAGGAGATAAAGCCCAGACTGTTTAGGCCCGTTTATCTCGTGGGACCAAAAGCTCACAGCACTGTCAACGTCAAAAGTTACACGAACTACTGTTTAGTCATGTCATCATCGCACTTGGTGTTACATCAAACACTTTTTGCCTTCTCGGCCCTTATATATAGAACCTTCCCCCCGCAAGAGAAAAAAAAACAAGAGTAATCATTTTTGTCTGCACGATAATATGGATGAGTTCAAAGGTCAACCTCGTCTCCCTAAGTTCGCCGTCCCAAAACGATACGATCTCCGTCTCACTCCCGATCTCATCGCCTGCACTTTCACCGGAACAGTCTCCATCGATGTAGATATAGTCGCAGATACTCGTTTCATCGTTCTCAACGCTGCTGATCTCTCAGTCAACGATGCTTCCGTCTCCTTCACTCCTCTTACCTCCTCCTCTAAGGTAATATATATATATACAACGCTCACTCTATTCCGATAAGGCGATAATGTGGTTAGGTATCACGGTCTTGATCATGATGCTTTGGTCCTTGAGTAAGTAGTGATGTTAGAATATGTTTTCATGATTAGCTTCTCGGTTTGACCTTTAGTCAGCTGAGCTGTCATATGGATAAAGGAGAAACTATTGGATCCAGACAGTAGAATCATTTACATCTTGTTGCTTCTTATATTCCTTGTCTGAAAATCGAGGGATTTTAAAAAAAAAAATTATTTTTTGGGGGGGTTAAAGCAGGCCCTTGCAGCTCCCAAAGTTGTCTTGTTTAAGGAGGATGAGATTCTAGTGCTTGAGTTTGCTGAGATTCTTCCCTATGGAGTTGGAGTTCTACATCTCGGATTCAGTGGAATACTCAATGAAAAAATGAAAGGATTCTACAAAAGGTAAAATGCTTTTAAGTGAGAAATGAACATTGATCGGGGCTAGTTGGACTAACTTAGTCCTCATCATAAAATGTTTTTTATTCTTGGTGCAGTACCTATGAACATAATGGTGAGAAGAAGAATATGGCAGTTACTCAGTTTGAACCAGCTGATGCTAGAAAATGCTTCCCTTGCTGGGATGAACCTGCTTGCAAGGTTTTTTTATTCTACATGCTCTTTCTCTTTGCCTCTTCTTTCATCAGCATGAGGATATCAAAAGTGGCATATGGATCTATATTGACACGTTATGCAACAGGCAACTTTCAAGATTACACTAGAGGTTCCTGCTGATTTAGTGGCTCTCTCCAATATGCCCATTTTGGAGGAGAAAGTTGATGGGAATATGAAGATTGTATCTTATCAAGAGTCACCGATTATGTCTACATATTTGGTAGCAATTGTTGTTGGTTTGTTTGACTACGTGGAAGATCATACATCTGATGGTAAACTTTCATTTTATTCCCTATTGTCTCACGTATTGTCAAAGCACTAATTAAATCAAGTTTCATGTTGTGCTCAGGGGTCAAAGTCAGAGTTTACTGTCAAGTGGGCAAAGCTGACCAAGGGAAATTTGCATTGCATGTTGGTACAAAGACTTTGGATCTGTTCAAAGAGTAGGTCCCTTCATCAATTTTTAGGCTTGTATGATATTCAGTGCAAAATGATTTCAAATATTCTTGTAGGTACTTTGCTGTACCATATCCTCTTCCCAAAATGGATATGATTGCGATACCTGATTTTGCTGCTGGAGCTATGGAGAATTATGGTTTAGTAACATACCGTGAAACAGTTCTTCTCTATGATGAGCAAAATTCAGCAGCTTCTAACAAACAGAGAGTACTGCAAACATTTTCGTTTTTTTCTCTTGTGTGCTTTTGTGCAATCATCTAAAGCAGTTAATTTCTCATGCTAGGTTGCAACTGTAGTTGCCCATGAACTGGCCCACCAGTGGTTTGGTAATCTTGTCACCATGGAGTGGTGGACTCATCTATGGCTGAATGAGGGTTTTGCTACTTGGGTACATTGCAAACAAAATGATTTTTGAGTTTAATTTGTTGTGAATGTAACGTTTTTCTTTGATCAATTTCAGGTCAGCTACTTGGCTATTGATAGTTTGTTCCCTGAATGGAAGATCTGGACCCAGTTTCTGGACGAATCTACTGACGGTCTAAGGCTAGATGGGCTTGAGGAGTCTCACCCTATAGAGGTAATCAAAACAAGTACATACATGTCTGTAAATAGCAGTGGTTCTAACAAATGCTATACCATATTACCGAAAATTTCCTTAGGTGGAGGTTAATCATGCTGCTGAAATTGACGAAATATTTGATGCAATAAGCTACATGAAGGGTGCATCTGTCATACGCATGCTACAAAGCTATCTTGGTGCTGAAGTTTTTCAGGTTCTGCTCAAGCTCTCATTGTATTCTCTTACAAATACAGTTTTAGGACCGTGGCGATCTAGTGTCTACATAGTTTCTTACTCTACTTATATGGTTTTGGTGAGCAGAAGTCGCTTGCTGCATACGTAAAAAAACACGCTTACTCAAACGCAAAGACAGAAGACCTATGGACTGCTTTGGAAGGACAATCAGGAGAACCTGTGAACAAGCTCATGAGTTTTTGGACAAAACAAAAAGGATATCCTGTTGTCTCAGCCAAAATCAAAGACGGAAAATTGGAACTTGAGCAGGTTCATACAATCATTTCTATTGCTTGATGTCTTACTTGTACCATTTTATAATATCTTGTGCATGATTAACTAACTAAATTCATTTTAAAAATTGCAGTCTCGTTTCTTGTCAAGTGGTTCTCCTGGGGAAGGAGAATGGATTGTACCAGTAACCTTGTGCTGTGGTTCATATGACATGCGCAAAAGCTTCTTATTGGAATCCAAATCTGGAGTATATGATCTAAAGGAGTTATTGGGAGGCTCCATTGCTGATGGTACGTGGATAAAAATCAATGTCGATCAGGCTGGATTCTATAGGGTGAAATATGATGACACCCTTGCGGCTGGACTCAGAATTGCAACAGAGAACAAAAGCTTGACCTCTATTGATAGATATGGTAATTTAACCATTTCAAAGTTTTGTTTTCTGGTTGACATGCTTTGGAGATGAAATATCATTTGTAATTCACAGGTATTTTGGATGATTGTTTTGCACTTTCTATGGCTCGTCAACAATCTTTGGCCTCTTTGCTCACTTTGATTAGTGCTTACAAGAAGGAACTTGACTATACTGTTATGTCAAACCTCATTGCTGTAAGGATCTCTTTTGTCTTTAATTTTCCCTAGTTCATAGTTCTACTTTAGCCTCTGGCTCTTACTCTTACTCCGTACAGATAAGCTACAAAGTTGTGAAGATTGCAGCAGATTCAAATCTTGAACTGATGTCTGAGATTAAACAACTTTTCATAGGTGTTTTCCAATTTTCTGCTGGGTAAGTGTTTTTACTACCCATCTACAGAGTTTAGACTAAAGATTATATCTAACTTGATGTTGAAAAGAATGTTTTTACAATGTTCATTGTTCTTACAGGAAACTAGGTTGGGACCCAAAACAAGGGGAGAGCCATCTAGATGCTATGTTGAGAGGGGAAGTCTTAACTGCACTTGCTGTGTTTGGGCATGATGAGACACTAAAGGAAGCAACTCAGAGATTTGATGCATACTTAGCTGATAGGAACACTTCACTTCTGCCTCCTGACCTTAGAAGGGTTTGTTTCTCATTACATAACCCAATTACAATTTGAAGTTGGAAATGGTGACCTTATAATTGAACTGTGTGTTTGGCAGGCGGCTTATGTTGCTGTAATGCAGAAAGCCAACAAGTCGGACAAATCTGGTTATGAGTCTCTTCTGAGAGTTTATAGAGAAACAGACCTGAGCCAGGAGAAAACAAGAATCCTAGGTAACTGATCTCTCAGTAAAAAAAAATTTCAATAATAAAATTATCATTTTCAACTGCTAATGTTTGTTTTTTTCTTTGCAGGTTCTTTAGCATGTTGCCCTGACCCCAGTATAGTTCAAGATGTTCTTCACTTTGTATTGTCTGATGAGGTATATACATAGAATAGATTCTGCTTTCAACTCTGTAGAATTAGTGAAATAATCATATTAATGATACTTGATCCAGGTCCGGAACCAAGATGCACTTTATGGACTTTCCGGTGTAAGTTGGGAAGGACGTGAAGTAGCCTGGAAGTGGCTGCAGGAGAAGTGGGAGTACATTGGGGAGACATGGGGTGCCGGATTTCTCATAACACGCTTCATAAGTGCAGTTGTATCTCCGGTTTGTTCTTTAAAAGAACCCTTCATTTATCCATAACAGCTCTTGATTTTTTTTCAGTTGGCTCATTGATTCCTTTTATGTGCATTTGTCTCAGTTTGCGTCGTTTGAGAAAGCTAAAGAAGTGGAGGAGTTCTTTGCAACGAGATCAAAGCCTTCAATGGCAAGAACCTTGAAGCAGAGCATTGAGAGGGTTCATATTAACGCTAATTGGGTAGAGAGTATTAGGAAGGAAGACAATATCACACAGCTTGTTGCTCACCTCTCTTCAAACTAAGAGTTTTTAACTCTTTTAATGTTGGGTTAT